TTATCCTTTAGTTTGAATTACTTTTGACCAGCAGTGCACGCACTTCTATTGCCACATTTGTGGGGAGAATGAGGATAAAAAGTGGGCGAGAAGAAACCGAAAGAAATAGATCAAGCCTTATCGATCCAGAAATACATGTGCGCGATCGGCCCAATGCTCTTAATCGGATTAATTCGAACACGATATTGCGCGTCTAATTGTGGTCCAAAGTTTTCATGATACTTTTGTTCGGCAACTTGCATTCGTATAGTTGATAACGTTTAAGGGAATGAATAAATTGAAATTGATCTTTTGTTGCGTGTTTTTGAAAATTCCTTTTTAGGGATAGCTGATTTTATAGATAAATAACAGATATATTTATTTTTGCTGAAAACAGAATTTTTTATCTGTTGCAATTCTTTTTATAATTTCATAAAAAACATCTAGTTTTTGAATATTCATTTGAAAGCTTCTCTTAATTCAACTATATTTGAATATCCCAGTTTCATCATTTATTTATGATTGATCTATTGCTTTCATGCATTTATAACGTTCATTACTGTGCAAAATTCATCAAAATGCAAACTTTAATGGAACCCCTAAACTTAATTTCTTTGAACAAGAAGTTCAAAAAATATCAACCTCCCAAGGACCACGCCCAGTTCCCTAAATTCCTTCCAAATCTTCCAAATTCTTCTCTCCCCGTTATAAGTATTACCATAATCCATTGGCAACGTAAACTTTTTAATATTTCCCATAGCCACCCTCAATTGCATAAACGAGAAAAGAATACTGATTACATATTAAAAGAGACATCTCCCTATAGACACCGCGAAGATTGAAATTCCTCGATCCCCGATCCGTTACATCCGAACACAAAGACCGCGTTCTGACCAACAACGAACCATAAATAAATGCGAATCAGCGAAACACGCGGTAATTGGAATAAAATAGAACGTCGACGGAAAGGGGTGAAGTCCAATGAGACGTAACGACCCTTTCGAAATCCAGCGAACTATTTTCGTCCTTTTTTCGTCAGGGACGAGGGTTGAAAGTTAGCGCGAAACTTTTGACCTCTTGCCCCGAAGTTTAATATTGGAATTTCAATATTGGAATTTCAATATCGAAATTTTGTTTCTTTTCCTCTGCGGATGAACTTTTTTATATTTTCTTCTTCGTTTCGCTATCCTTCGTTCCTCTTTTTTTCCTTCTTTTGTGTTTCATTTGTCCGGGTTAGATTTTCGCGAAAAGCTGGCGCAAGAGCGAGCGGCCGGTGTTTGCGTTGCATCGACGGCTGCAACGGCGTGTCGGGTTAACCAAGAAGTTGGCTTAGGGTATCTGGGTTCAGTCTAAATAGGCAATTCAACCTCTATACCGGCTCGGATGTCGCCGCGACTGCCAGCCAAAGTGGAGTGCTCGGAACGAACGATAAAGAAAAATCGGTGGACCCTGCCCCCCTTTCTTTCCTCCCCTCTCCTTTTATTTCCGAAATATTCTACAGCCGTCCCTCCATTTACGCGGCATCTTTTTTACGCGGTAAATTGAAACATCATATAGGGTAAATCGGGGAGAGATGGGACACTTTTTTAAAAAGATCTATCGTAAATATTTATATAATAAACAGAAACTATATTTATGAAAATAAATACATAAATAAATAATAATAAACGATAATCAATTGTTTACAATAAATAAAAAGATAATTTTGTTCTCTTGCTTTCATTGAGATTAATTTTGGAAGCTAGGGCAAAACGTTCTTAATTTTCCCAGTTGTGAGCGGGTTAAGCCATCTGAAATAAATGTGTTTGTGAAATAGCTTTTCTTTCCAATGTTTTTTGTTTTCTTTTGTATTGGCGAATAAAATGAAAATTGTAACAATAGAATTTTCTTCAATTTCTTCTACTTTTGGATATTTAAAACTTTTATAATATTAATAATTGCAAAATAAAAAAATTAGAACCAGTAATTTTAATTAGTATGATAGTTCTAGCGTTAACAAAATGATGTTACACTCGTCTCTCTATTTATGCGGAGTATCTGTTACATGCGGATTTGTTTTATTAATATAATAATATAGTTAATATAGTATTCAAGTGAAACTACTGATTCTCAAAATCATCTCAAATATTTAACACTTTGAAGATACTAATAATTGCGAAACAAGTAAATCGAAACCGATTTTGACGGGTATGATAGTTCTAGTACTGATATTCAGAAAAAGAGAGAGAGAGAGAGACAGAACTTGAGAATGAAACTTTTATCAAAATTATGTAAACTGCGCATATTATGTTGACATTCGCGTGTAATTCGTAAACGACGTTCTCGTTGTAATATTTTCGAATTTTACGAGCAATGTTTGTCGTGCTTCATATCGGCTATGTTTATACTGGGAGCGTTTGTGTACTTTGTTTCTTTTACAAATCACTTCATTCGCGTTCGAAAATTTAATTGTCCAGTTCGTTTAATTGCTCCTAGTGTTCGTTGACGGTTTCTGGATTGCGAGTTTTTCGCGTCGACCGGATTTAAAAAAAATACGGGGACAGGGTATAGTTTCGAGTCTTCACGGGGATGCACGATTTTAGGGACGCATTCGACGAAAATTGAAATTCTATGAATAAAGAAGAATATTAAATTCGTGTTGGTTAACCCTTTACACTCCAAAAGTTTAAATTAACAGTAGACTGCCTACTATTTAATATGACTAACACGTAGCCCTTACAAAAATTGTAACAGATTTCTTTCGATTTCATGTGTATTCATTATAGCATCCACGTGAAACTATTGATCCTTAAAATCATTTCAGTTTCAAAATATCAACAATTGCGATATTAGAAAAGTGAGACTCGTCACTTTGACGGGTGTGTTAGTTCTAGTGTTATGAAGCAAAGATGTGCTGTTAGCAAAGCTAAATTATATGAATGTTTAATTATTGGCTTATGATTCCTTTCTCAACTATGATTGATACAACCACTAAGTGATTTACAATGATTAACAATGACAAAACAATTTATTGAAAAAAGAGAAAATTTTAGGCACATTTTGTATGTATGTTTACCTTAAAGTATAGTAATTGATAACTGAGGAATAACATTTAATTTGAATTCAAATGAATCATGTAATATTATTTTTTGTTCAGTTCTGTTTAAAATCATCACCACGAATCTTACATAATGCTATAGGACAAGGGTTGACATTAAATATCAAACTTTATAATTTTACTGCATCAAATCTAGTGGCGAGTCCCAGTCGTCTTTTGGGTGCAAAGAGTTAAGTATCTGCTGAAACTTTACTTTGAAATTTATTTCATCATTTTACTTTGAAATGTACTCTGGATTTTCGGATTTTCCATTCAGGAATCTCGCGCAGATATTAGCCGAAATGAAAATATGTGGCTAAGAAGATTAGGAAATTTTCAGGCTGTTCCCCGAGCCCTCCTTTTTTGTTCTATGCACCTTTTACGCTTTGTAAAATGAATAAAAAAAGCGCGCAAGGGGCAAAGATTAGTCCAGGAAGTCAAAGAAGTCGAGGGAAACGGGAAAACTTTTGGCGAAAGTTAATACGCCGGCGTGTATATAAAAAGAGCGAAAACATTCAAAACGTTATTTAAGGTGCTAATTGCCTTTCCAACTGTGTTATTGTAAATTTCCATTTTTAAGGCCACTGTTTCAATTACCGCGATCGATTTGCCACGTGCGCATATTGTAATACATTTCTTTGTACTTCGAACATATCATACAAGTTATTCATTATAAATTAGAGAAGTATTCAGTTTCAGCTTCGTAAATAAGTGTATGAATTTGGATTGGCAAAATAGAGGCTCATTAAGTCTTTTAAATGAAATCCTGTAATTTCTTTGAACAATGCCATATAAAATGCTGGAAAGGATTCATTGCTTATCATAATGAGCAGTTTTATTTGTAATAATATGAACACTATAATAGTGGAAATAACAGTCACGTTTGACAAAGACTTGAAAGGAAAAGAACGTTTAATATACATACGAAGAAATGCATGTATTACTATAAATAATTAGGATGCAGTCAAATGTAAATAAAAAATTGGAAAATTTCTTTTTTGTATAAACGCGAATAGGTTAATTCTTCAACTCAAAAACGTTTTACCTAAAAGTACATTTATCAGAATAACATTAATGATTGTTTGCATTCTATTTATCCAACCCTTTTCAAAATTGTACATAAATCAACATTTTTGTTAACTTGCTATTATATACATTCACCGAATCAAAATCAACTAAAAGATTCTAAGTATCAAACATCAAACACTTCAAAAAGATTTAAAAATTAACCACATCTCGAAACACTATTAATAACTATTTACAAAAAAGAAAATACACTTCCATCCTACACCACAATGTTTTTATTACTAAACAATCTCCCGTTAGAAACCAAAAATTCCCGATTTCGCCGTTTATGGTGCCACAAGAACACTTCAATCTCCTAACCGCGATCCAGTCGAAACTCACAAAACGAACGTTGCACATCGACGTTACTCATCGTTCGGTATCTCATTATTTGACATCTAACGCACATTGTTCGGTATCTAACGCTCCCATCGAAAATAAATAGGAGCCACGTACACTTTGAACTTTCCATCGGCCAGACAAGGCTCGCCGTCGTGTCCAAAGTGGAAACAAAACCAATGCGATCGCCAGTTCCCCGTCTGTCCCCCACCATGCAGCCGCCGCCGACAACCCCACCAGGCCGGGTCCAACAAAGACGATTTCTGACGGTCGCGGCGTCGTGGATTGCGTGGGCGCGAAAACTGTTTCATTGCCGGCTGTAATCGGTGTCATCGCGGAGGCCTTGATCGTAACGAGGAGTCGCGCGCGCTCTCGTATTTCCTGGTATCAGCGAAATGGCGGCGGTTATCGCGCTTTCAGCCCGTTCCGCAAAAAACGAGTGTGTAACGATCCCATTGCGATTCGCTTGGCCCCCTCCCTGGCCGGCGTGGTTGGTATCGCATGTCCGGCAACGGACCCGGGCCCCTATATAGGGGGCCCGCGGCCACGGCTTCGGGCTTACAGCATCCAGCCGCCATCGTGAGTGCATCGCGACCGATCAGCCGCGATAGTACCCTTCGAATCTAGCGTTCAGTAACCGTTTCGGATCGTGACCGGTATCTTCCGCGAGAAAGGAAGTACCTTGAAAACTGGTTCGTGGTTTTTCGGTCGCATTTTATTCAGTGATTGTCGGGACATCGATATTTGTTTGGAAGACTTCATCAACTGGGTTCATCTTTGGGGACTCTGGTCTAGGTTCTTGGCTGTTTAGCAGTGAAGAAGGAAGAAAAGGTTGAAAGTTGGTTCGCCATTTTTTGATCACATCTTATTGAGTGATTTTCCTCGGAATATCGATATTCATTTGGAAGACTATAAACTGGGTTCATCTTTGGGAACCCTGGACTAGGTTTTTGTCGGTTTAGCAGTGGGAAAGAGGAAAGTCTCTTGAAAATTGGTTCACGATTTTCTGGTCAAGTTTCATTCAGTGATTTTCATCGGGACGTCGATATTGAGTTGGACGACTCAGCAGACCAGGTCCACCTTTAGCGTCTCTGGTCCAGATCCCCGGCTACTTATCGAGAAGAATCTTTTGTCTAGACCCAGGGGAGTGTTTCCCGGTAATCTCCGGGCGGAGAGCTAGAGACAGCGAGTATCGTGAGTTCAGTAGATAGAAGGCCAATAGAGCTGGCGAAAGAAAGTGGAGCGGCGGAGTGGATCGAGGATTTTATTCGGTGCTACATGAAACTCGGTGAGCCTCGAAGGATGAGAGAATAGAGGACTCCTGCCACGGTGTCGTTGTCTCGCGCCCTCAGCGCTGCTTCATCGTCCTGATAGCAGTTTCTTTCCGATCATCCAGGTTACTCGCTGGTTATTCGGTTCTGGGTAGGGTGCGAAGAGTTCGAACCAATTGGAGGACAATCTTTCAGTCGCGTTGAAGGAACATCAACGAGCTCGAAGCTTGTCGATTGGACCCGCAATTCTAAATAGCGCGTCGTGGGGATTTACCCAGGTGGTAGCGGATTAAGCGAAAGGTTTTGTGAGCTAGTGATTCGGAGGAAGCGCGCTCGGGATCTCGAAGGGAGAACCATGCAATCCGTTTCCGGCTCAATGAGGCTTTTCAGCCCAGTCCGACACATGTGCACCCTGGTGCAGCTCGCGTGCGTCGCGACCATCGCGTTAACCGTGGACGTTCACCACGAAGACGATAATCCACTTCTAGGTCTGCACAAGTGCACCGACTCGGAGTTCAAGTGCAAGAACGGCATATGCATAGTCGGAACATGGGTCTGCGATGGCGACAAGGACTGCGGGGATGGGTCTGATGAGGATCCAGCGGTTTGCCGTGAGTACATTGTCTATTCTTTCTATTTTACGTAGTATATGATATAGTTCTGTGAGTAAGCCGTTCATTTGTCAAAGTGATTAACTCTATGAAACAGGGGGTAGGAGAATTTGGTTTAATGAAGTTAATGAAGAATCATTTAAGTGTTTTATAATATTGTACATATGCTAACAATTGCATAAATTCGAAATGTGAGGTTGGTCACTTAGACCAGTGAACGATTTGTATACTGTTGGACCTTTTGTAACGCGAAGGATCTGGAACACAAAAATCTGCAATCGATTGAAAATTTGTTGTTTATTATAATAGTAAATAATGTGAATGTTTCTTGATTTGAAAACAATGAAACTATAAAATTCCATTTTGTAACCGTAGTTTCTGAGACAATTAAAAAACGCATAGGTTTGCATGTTACGAATTAGTCAGGCTTGCAAAAGGCAAGCGCTACGAAACAAGTACAAATACTATTCTTGCTTGCCTTCCTTGTGTTTTAACGGGTTGATGCATTAATGCAACGACGCATTTTTGCCTTTATAAAGTTTGCCATCAACATGCATACCTTTTAAGCAATTTTTTAATCCTGCTATAGGTGGATTGCAATTTTTTGACCGCGTTATACGAGGCTCTGCTGTATACATATTTGTTAGTGTCTACTTTTCTGTGTTTTTTCCCCTTTTTGTTGTTAATCCTTTTGATACTATAAATTGGTTGGTTTTATTTGATATGTACAGGGCGTCTCGGATTTTCCTGTTGTACCGTTGTCAGTGTATGTTCCACGCGTGAATGTAAAAACGAATGGCATGTAAATATTGGCTCGTGAATGCTTCATCGAAAAGCACATGTGATATAAATACGAAAAAATGGTGGATTTGTTCGTTGTTCGTTTAATATTTCGTTGTTGAAGACTTCTATAAACGCAAAATTTCGGTTAATACTAAATTTGGTTAGAGAATTTATTTAATTAATTTTATTAGGGATCCCTTCACATAATATTTGGGATAAGCAATAGGGTGAGTCGCTTTAAATTAGAATCTATTTATAATAAAGATCTTGTAGTAAAAATCCTCAGTAAAAAGATATATTCAACTTAATAATAATTAATCTTCAGATTATGTTTAGCATTTGAAATTCAAAATATTAAGAATTATCTAGATAACGTTAATGGATTTGTATATATTTGCTTTCTGTACATATGAAATGAATTCTGAAACATATCTACGAAACATTCAGTTTCTTATACTGATACGAGTTTCGTTCTATTAATATCTTTTTGTAGTTAATGCTGCGCATTAATTCTTGCCTAATAAACGATTTCTTGAAACGTTAGTAATCCTGATAGTAAACATAACCTACAATAACCACAGTCAACGAATGCAGCTTATTTAAAACTTCGTTTCACATTTTTCAACATAATTTTTTGATCAATCATTTATGAGCCTATGGTGTTTTATTCGTTGAAAACGCTGGCACCGTTTGCCAAGAAAAATCTGGGACACCCTGTCTACTAGAATGGCATGTAACAACTAGAGAGATACAAGGAACTTTTTCTTACTACTTGTTGTCCATTGCTTCTGGGAAAGTTCATCTTACGTCATCTTATAGAAATTATCTCGTTGTAACGCAATGTGAGAAAAAGTTCGTATGTATTCCAGGCATTAAGATAATTATCTGACATTTTATTATTTTTTAGTTGTTTAGCATTGAAAGTATTAATACAACTAATTTGTATTTACCACTAATTACTCATTTATGACTAATTAAAACTAACTTTATAAAAGTACAAATAATCTATATTTATTACTAATCTACTTGTTAAGACTAATTTATTTTTCAATTCTATGTTCGTTGTTCCGTGAGAGTTCTCTCGCCCTAGAATGATTTTCTCGTAGAAAAGAAAAACATACGGTGTCAAAGATAATTCTAAGAAAACAATTTTGGAAACATTGAAACCTTTTTCCATAAAAAGCTAAATTACACATCAAACTCCCAAATACTTAAAAAAAAGTAGGAATCTTTTAAAAAAAAATAATTCCTTCGATTAGAATTGTAGATTGTAGATGTAATATATCGACATTTAAATTCACTTGAATTTTCGCATCAAACTTATTTTATATCGAAGATAATAATTACATTACTAATCTATTGTACAATCTTTGTAGAAAAGTCAAGTTTATTCCGAATAACATTCTCTTTCATCGAATTCAAACGTTCTCCCGAATATCTCGATTTTTTAAATTTCTACAGTGGACAAAACAGTACACGACGATTGAAAATCATTCTGATTCGAGGATGCTCGAACGGGACGCGGAAAGTTCAATATTTTCGCACGTCGCGTCGAGTAGATTTAATTCTCGATATCCGCCGCCGACTAAATAAAAAGATATATACCGGGTGGAGTCGAAAAGTCACGGGAACGATACGGTTGATTTTATCCTGTGTAAAGCAGTCGTAAAGTCCTCTTGTCGCAACGCGTGGCCGGGATAGCCAGCGATCGCGCTCGCGTGGGACAGAGAAAGGAACGAGCTCGTAAATGGATCGTTTGTTACGTTTAACGGCTAAATTATTGGCGCGGGGACAAATCGAACCGCGTCGGCAAACAGAACCGATCCGTGGGACACGCGCGCGTGTCTCGCGCGAAACGAGCCCTCACACTCGGCGATAGCGATGGGTCCAACCATGTTTCGATCCTGTGGGGACCATAATTTCTCAGACATGGAGAGAAAATTATTATTTAACAGAAAAATCTGTTAAATATCAAATGTCAGAAAATATTTTTAAAATTATATTTTCTGTGTTCATTGAATGCTGAGAGAAATAATTTTTGACACATTGGAGGAGAATTGTTGCAACAAAAAAATATAATATTAAATACATATATATTGAATGTAGAAAACATTTTTAAAGATATATTTTTTGTATTCATTGGAAGTTAAGAAAAATAATTCTTGTGGCATGAAAAGAAAATATTTTTTTTAAATACTTTTTTGATATGTGATATTTGTAATTGCGTTTTTCTGTCAGTATTAATTAAAAGCTGAGAAATAACATATTTTGATATTCAAAAATATGAAAATATTTTTTTAATATTTATTAATATCTACTATTTGATGTTTTGTCTGCACCTATCGTTTAATTTAGTTATTTGTACTCCCCTAATTCTGTGATTGCATAATTTTTTGGATAATTTATTTTTATCTTTAATGACTTGTATTGTCGGTTAAATCATGGTACCCAGGAACTACTAATACTGTATAAATGAAGGGGTATAAAAGTATACAATTTTTCTTTGAATCGAATTTACACAATACACGTCAGTACGTTGATTAACCCGACCGAACGTAAGTGGTACAAGTCAATAAAAAATTATTCTACGCAAGGGAGTAATTCAGTTTAAAATATCATGTTTTTTCTTCAAAACCTCGTTCTCGAGAATATCTAGATTATCTATTTCGAAAATTTATCAATTACACGTGCATTTGGGTAAATACTTGCTGAACATGTTCAATCTCAATTTTTCCAAAAGGAAAATAAAAAAAAATAAAATAAAAGAAGCGAGTCCTCAAATAACAAAATTTCAGTTTGGATATTTTATATATTTCCGCATGTAGAATAACCTCTCTTCGTCCATTGTACCATCCGTGTATTCAGTCTGAAAGTTATTCAAGCGCATGTGTGCTCAACATATATTCACGCTTGATTTTCTCGAAAACAGAAAATCAAATGAAAAAGTTCCGTTCTGCGTTTCCAACGCAACTTTTCCTGTAGAATCGTGTTCTTCCCAATGAAACCAATTATCGTGCATACTTCAGTTAAATAATAATAGGAAATATTTGTATATTCTTGCAGATGCTAATTGATTTCACTAAACTCGAACCGTATAACATTACAAATGGAAGTAATAATATCATAAATACTATTATTAATTTGGTACCCATTAACAGTAACATTGCAGTACAAACCGTCGGGTTCTCATTTACTCTAAATTTCGTTCCAATTAAATACATGAAGTTACGTACAATTACTGAGCAACTTTTGTTATTGTTCTCAAAATCAATTGCGCATGAAACATAATTCCACGAACAATGGATTTTTATCCATTTACTAAAAATTTAAAAGTGCACGGGATGCATGTAATTTGGAAAAATATTTTAAAATATTCAAAGCATGGTACTTTTTATAATGTTCACTAAAAAACACAATGTACCATTGTAATTCGGTTTTCTTAATTATATTTTTAACAATTTAAATTTTCAGAAAGAATTGCAATCAAGTAATCTAGATCTATATCTGACTGAAACAAAATAATAATTATTTAACTTCTGCTTCCGAGATTTTGAGAAAAAAGTCTTTTTCCAGATATTTTTGGATTAATTAAATATTAGTATCACAACGTTATTAACAGTATTAATTATTATTAATTTTTAATATTAACAGCAACATTAGTATTTACTCGTAATTACTACTACAAAATTATTAACAATGTAAGCTATTATTAATTACTGATATTACATTATTAACACATTGTTGACTGATCACGAGTTAACTCGTGTTTGCACTTGCATTAGCTATTTCAATTTTTGAAACGCAACGCAATAAGGAATATTACAAAAGCAAAATATTCAAAGTTATATAAAAGATACGTCCAAAGTTTCATTTCAATTCATTATGTATAAATGAAGTATATTAAAGTTTATTTAGATTGTTTCATTTTCATATTTAATTACGGAATAATAATCGGCGGCGTGAGATAGTTTCTGCGTAAACTTACCGGTCAACAAAATATTAACAACATCAACTATCAACAATTATCAATATATCATTCAACTAATTTAAGAACATCTCGCGAAAGGTCTTCCCCAATAACTCAAAAATAGAAATTATACTGTTATCATTCCGAACCGCTGATACCTGAAAAACAATTCCCGTTGCAATCGGGAAATCGAGATATCGGCCTCACGCCAGATGGAAACCGAATATTGAACTGTGGATCCCCCGTCACT